CTGGGGCGGGGGCGCCTGCCGCCCGGGGCGCCGGTGGGGGCCGGGGACGTGGCCCTCGTCCCCGATGGCGTCGCCGGCGGAGTGAGGGGTGGCACTCAGGACCTCCCCGCCCGGACCTCCGTCTGTGCCCGGGGAGATGTACGAGAGCGTGGAAGTGGGGGGGCTCGCGCCCGCCCCCAACCCCTTTCTGGTGGTGGATTTTTATAACCAGAACCGGGCCTGTTTGCTCCCGGAGAAGGGGCTCCCAGCCCCCGGCTCCTACTCCACCCCGCTACGGACTGCGCTTTGGAATGGCTCAAACCACTGTAGGTACCGGGCCGGCCTGCGCGCGGCTCCGGTAGGAGCTGGGCGGGAGCAGCGGGTCCATCCCCGGGGCGCGCTGTCCTCCAGCTTGGGTCAGCTCTGGCTGCAGCTCGGGGCCCTGCTGGGCAGTGGCCGACTCCGTAACCCCGGGGTGCTATTTGTTCTATTAGGGCAAGGAACTTCGTGGTTCCTCCTTTCAGGACACACTCGTGCGTCTTCTTCCACTTTGCTGGGGGACGTTAAGCCTAGCTCTGGCTCCGGTTTGGGCTTCTTGCTCTCTTGCTCGCGTCTCTGAGCTGCACAGTGGGCTGGAGGGTAGCGGTGAAGGACCAGCTGGTGAGCTCCTCCGTTCCCAGGAGGGGCTGCAGCTCCAGACCCCACCCCACCAAGGCCTGGAGGGAGCCTCCCTCCTGGGTGACAGCTACAGCTCCCAGTGGGTGGCCGGATGTGTGGCCGAAAGGGGCAGCTGAAGACCCCATCTGCCACCCTGGCCAACCCCCCCATCTCAAGGAGGGGCACTGCCCTCGAAGGTTGACCTGGCCTAGGCCTGGGCTGGACCCTTGGAGCTAGAACCCCCTTCCCTAGTGCTAATCCAGTTGTCCTCTCGGGGAGGAGTTTGCTTCTGGTGGCTGTGGGAGTGTTCCGAAAATGAGGGTGCAACCCCTCCAAACCCCACCTCCGCTGAGTCCTTTTGTTACCTGCCCAGGGGTAGATGGGGCCAGTCTTGTGCTGCCCCTGCGAGTGGCCCTGGTGAGGACCCTGTGTTCTGGCAGCCGGGCACCTGCTCCTCTGGGAGGGAGAGCTTGGGTGCATGCCTGGGCGTGTGGGTGCCCAGGTGGGAGGTCCTTGCCCTGGTGTCGGGGAGAGCAGGTGCACGGGGTTATTGTTAGGTGGCTCAGGTTTCAGCCCCCCCGGCCCTGCCCTGGGCTCAGCTCTTCCCAGGAGGGTCCCCCACCTCCGGCCTGCCAGTGGGAGGGATGGGTGGCTGACTGGAGAAGGCTGAAGGGCCGAGGACCGGCCCCACCCGCAGCCCCTCTGGCCTTAAGGAGCCTGGGGGAACAGATAGCCGCCTCACACCCCCTGCCTTTCCTATTGTCCTGCCCCCTGACCTCTGCCTCTGGGCAGAGTTGGCTGTGAGGCTGTGACGGGGAGGGAGGAGTGACCCACCGTTGGCTTTGGAAAAAGGCAGAGGTGACACTAGGACTGTCCACTGTCCCAGCACTGGGGGAGGGGACCTTGCCTGCCCCGGGGGATCGTGGCCGGCCGCCAGCCCCGCCCCCTCCTCCTCCTAGCCCTTGGGCCACAGCTTGCTTGTCCTCATCCCCTGGGGACAACTGAGCTGTTCCTGGCTCTGGGCTCAGAGGACCTTGGGAGGAGGGCGCGTAGTCCCCACGTCCGATTCCTGGACAGGGGACAGAGATGCCTCAGCCAGGCCTGGGTGGGGACAGCCGGCAGCCTGGGCTCCTCTCCCCATCTGCGTGGGGTTGCTGAGGCCCACAGGAAGGTCTGGAGTCTGGGGGTGGCCGCTAGACCCTTCCTGGAGTGTATGGGGCCAATGTCACCGCCTGGGCAGGCGCCCCTTGCCAGGGGAGGCCCTCGGGTGACCGGAGTCGCCTTGCAGCCCCCTCCTGGGCAGGCTGCAGTCTCCCCGCCTCCACCCGCGTTGGGGAGAAAGCACGGCCTAGGGACCTACACAACCCATCTCAGTGCACTAGGGGTCAAGGGGTGCGCAGGATGTGGCTCCCCTGGGTCCCCCCAGCTTGCCCTCCCGGCCTCCCCCGCTCCCAGACGTCCAAGAATGCGAAGCACGTGGATGTCCCGGTGGGGGAGGGGAGGCGATGCTTATCGGGGGTGCCGTGGGCCGGGACCTTCTGCCTGCTGCGCGAACCCCGGGCCACCCGGCCTCCCGCGCCGCTGCCCGGCCCTCCGGAGGCTCTGCGGCGAGCTGGAGGGAGGGCGCCGGCTGCACGGGAGGGGTGCGCCGGCTGGCTGGGGGCCCGGCCGATTTCCTGCCGATCGCCTCCAGGAAACCAGCCCCTCGCAAGCAAGCGGGCTGGGCTGGCCGCGCCGGGGCGTGGGGACTCCCGCCCAAGGGGGAGGGGAGGGGACGCCGCCGGGCTCCTGGGCCGTGTCCAGCTCTCGCTGGGCGCTGGAACTTTGAGCTGAGAAGGTGTGGTCCAGCTGCACTTGGAGCCCGCGCGCAGGAAGAGGAGAGATTTGCGGGCTGGGGCCTCCGGCGGGGACGCGGCGGGGAGAGGCCAGGCCAGGGCGGCCCTCCCCCCTCCCGAGGTGTGCAGAGTCACTTCGGGTCCCAGCCTGCAGAGGCGACAGGGTCCGCGCCCCTGCTTGGGTCCTGGGCCGCTGGCTGGAGGCCTGGCCAGGTGGAGACTGGGCCCCAAGCTCTGGGTTCAAAGGGCAGAGCAGGAAACCTCCGAGCTGTTACCTCGGTGACAGGTGGGGTGGGGCAGAGGTGGTGGGGTGGGGCAGAGGTGGCCGCAGGCTGCTTAGGGGTGGTGGGGAGGAGACCTCCCGCGGCTTACTGTGGCCTGGGCCTTGGGTCATCTCCCCCGTCCTGCCAAAAAATTTCAAAAGCACACTCTTTCAGCTCCAAGAGGATCCTGCAGGCTTGGCTCTGCCTCAGTGCTGCGGCCCTTGCCCCTCTGGGGTGTCCTGGCCGGAGAGTGCCTGTGCCCTGTCCCAGGGCCCCACCCCTTGCCCTCCATGGCACTCAACCCAGGAGCCCCCAGTCCTCCCCCGTCCAGCCCTCTTCATCTCCTGCTGGGGGGGGGGTGCGGAGGGAGGGAGGGGCCCAGGCCCCCTGCCTTCTGGAATGCTGGCCGACTGGGGCCCCCACCCCTTGTCCTTGACGCCCCCCCACCCAGCCTGGATTGTCTATTGTTACTGCTTTTACGTCTTGGAAAAAGTTAGCACAACAAAGGGCTCCTTTGTGGCTCACCCCTCTACCTCCCGGCCCGCTTGCCCGTCCTTCCTCCAGCAGCTGTTCCTGGCCTCCCGGCCTCTGTCGTCCTCGCGTCTGGCCTGGGGTGGACGAGGTGGAGGAAAGCAAGCCAGGGCTGCTCCATCACTGGGGTGGACAGGGACGATTCTGCTAGACCCCAGGGGCTGCAGGGCAGGGGGCACAGGGCTACGGCAGAGCTGCTCAGCCAGGCTGACCGGGCAGGTGGTGCCCAGGCCTGCAGGAGCCCGGAGAGCCCTGCCAAGGCTGCTGGGTGTAACCAGCGCCTGGCAGTCGCTTGAGGGTTTGCAGGTAAGGGGGCGGGGGATGCCGGCCCCGTGCCCCCGAGCCTGGACTTGGGGGCTGCAGGATGTGTCTCGTGGGCTGTGGGCACGTGTGTGCTGGAGGGATGGGAGGAAGCTGGGATCGGCCCTGACGGGCGACACCCTGGCCCGTCTTTGGCCTCAGGCAGTGGCAGATGCCCCTGGAGGGTGCTGGGCGGCCCTCGGGAATCTGGCTTGCCTCAATTGTGATTCTTTACAAGCACCCTGTGCCCTGGCCAGACAGCCCACCCAGGCCAGCCCCGGTCTGCCTAGGGTGATGGGCATGGGGCCAGGCACGGGGAGGTTTGGCCCATGCCCTGCTGGCTGGGTCACCCCTCCTGGCTGCCCTCTGGGAGCTGAATGACAGGAGGGGTGGGACCCGGATGCAGCACGGAGGCCAGACAGACGGAGCATTGACGGGAACAGGCCCCCTTTGTGGTGCTGGCTTCCCCCAGACCTGGGGCACCCAGATGGTGGGGGGCCGTGGAGCCTGCCTCTGGGGGTCCCCTACCTGCCTATCTCTGCTCAAGCGACCCTTGTGACTCTGCTTCGCACACCCTGCCTTGGGACCCTGGTTGTCGGGGTGAGGGAGGGGCTGGGGCTGCTGGCAGAGGGGGCGGAAGCAGAGGGGTGAGGGAGGGGCTGGTGCTGGACATCCTGTTGACCCCAGTTTCCTCTGCCCCCGCCCCCGCCTGCTTGTACCTCTTCCCTCCCTCCTCCTGCCTTAACTCCCTTTTCTTGGGGGAGCCTGGCCAGGGTTCCCCAACCAAGGCTTTGAACCAGGCCGATCTCCACCTTGCACCCCAAGTATGGCCCTGTGCGTGCACCCACCCATCCGATGATTTCCTGGTGTGAAAAGTGGGGTCTCTGGGAAGTAGGAGTGACGGGTTGGTAGGGGGCTGCGGCTGCCCTGGCCCAGGCTCTAGGGGCACCAGGGGGCAGGGGAGTAGGGCACCTAGGTGGGGACCTGAGTCTCTAACGGCCGCTTCCTCTCCGCCAGCCATCGAGACCCAGAGCAGCAGTTCCGAAGAGATCGTGCCCAGCCCGCCCTCCCCGCCGCCTCTGCCCCGCATCTACAAGCCCTGCTTTGTCTGCCAGGACAAATCCTCAGGCTACCACTACGGGGTCAGTGCCTGTGAGGGCTGCAAGGTGAGTCTCGCGCTCCCTGTCCCCGGGAGGGCTGTCGCGGTTAGACAGCGGGACACCCTGCTGCCTCAGCCTGAGTGCGTGCAGTCTGGGGGTGAGGGGTCCCCCCGCTGTGGCTCTTGTTTACCTGGAAGTTGGCAGCAGCCCCGGGGAGGAGACACCTGCCACCCAGCCTCCCTTGTGATGAGCGGGGCTCCCCTCCGGCCTCAGCTCCTCTCCGTCTGCATCCTCCAGCTGGCAGGGCGTGCACCCACTCTGCCACCGCTGCCCAGGTTGTCATGGTGAGCTGGCTGCTGATGGCTCCTGGCTGGGGACCCGGGAGGCCTGCCCTCTGTGGCCCTGCCTGAGCCTTGCCACGGCAGCCTGGCACAAGGCGGTTAGAGCAGGCACCCCGCCCTGGCCTTGCTCTCGGGAGCCCAGGCCGCGCTCCGGGGTGCAGGTGCGGCTGTACCTTCCCAGTGCTCTGGGGCGGGGCTCGTGCACTGCCCAGCTTGGCCAGGGCTGGTGGTGCACACCTGTGATCCCAGCTGTGGGGTTGGGGTGGGAGGCACTGAAGCAGGAGCATCGTAAGACCAAGGCTAGGCTGAGTGACGGAGGAAAACACTTGTCTCAAGATACAGTGAAAGGCCGGGCGTGGTGGTGCACACCTGTAATTCCAGCAGTTGGGAGGCTGAGGCAGGAGGATCATTGCTAGTTCAAGACCAGCTTGGGCTACAAAGTGAGCTCAAGGCCAGGCTGAACTACATAGTGAGACCTTGTCTCAAGAAGACCAAAAAAAAAAAAAAAAAAGATACAGTAAAGGGGGCAGGGCAGCTCAGCACTCCTGGTTTAGCCCTCAGCACCAAAGAGAGCTGCCCAGCTTTCGGGGCCCCCCTCGGCCTGAAGCAGCCGTCCGCGGTGGGGGGACAGGCCCAGGGCAGTGCACAGGCCACACGCAGAATGCTGGTTGTCCTTTCTGCTCGATCCTGCTTTCCCCCGCGGCTGGCTGTCTGTCTCTCTCTCTTGGGGTTGATCTGTGTGTGCGGCCCTTGCACGTCCGCCGGGTCAGCGCCTTGCTCCCGAGTGTGTGTGAGGCTGTGTGCCCCTCTGTCCTCCTGCTTCTGGGCCCTTCCCTGTGTTCCGGGGCCAGGGCCGTGGGTTCCAGGTGTCTGCGTCACGTGTTTCCAGCCCCAGGTGTCCCTGTTCTGACTCCTCAGCTCTGCTGATGTCCTGTCCCCAAAAGAGAGGCATGGGGCGGGTGAGGAGGCAGGTCCTGGGCTCCCCGAAAGCCTGCTGCAGGGCAGTCAGCACTCGGGTGGGTGACGAGCCGGCCCTCCCCGGGCCTGGACGCCTGACTCCCTCCCTGCACGCCCAGGGCTTCTTCCGGCGCAGCATCCAGAAGAACATGGTGTACACTTGTCATCGCGACAAGAACTGCATCATCAACAAGGTGACCCGGAACCGCTGCCAGTACTGCCGGCTGCAGAAGTGCTTTGACGTGGGCATGTCCAAGGAGTGTGAGTGGCACGGGCGTGGGCCCAGCCCCCCCCCCCCGCCCCCCAGGGCCCGCGGGGCGTGTGGTGAAGGATGGGCTGCATGTGGCTGGCTGTGTGTCCGCGCGTGGGTCCCGGCTCGCGTGCAGCGTGCCCGTAACGTGTGCGTGTGTGCACGCCGTGGCCCCTTCCAGGCCTGCTTGGCTCTGCAGCAGGGCGGGGAGCCTCTTAGGGACTGGACCTGGACCCAGGGCTGTGTGTTGCCCAGGCATCCGGAAGCCATTGTCTGAGGAAGCCTGTGGCCAGAGCTGCTGGAGAGAATTGGGCTCCTTGGGGCTCGGGGTGTCCCCGTCGGGCCCAGCTGAGGCCGGTGCAGGGAGGCGGGGAAGGCCGGACAGGGAGACCCTCTTGTGTTGAATCATGGGTGTTGCTGTGGTGACCGGTGATTGATGATGTCAGAGATAAATGACGCTGACAGACGCCTCCTTGTCTGCGTGGCCGTTGCCATGGAGCCGGAGCCTTGGGGGATGCAGCGGGGGAGGGGGCTGCAGGACCCCCCAGGCCTCTGTGGGGAGGGAAGGGGAGCGGAAGTGGGGGGGTTGGGGCAGAGGCGGCTCTGTGGGTGGAGGCGCGCGCCAGGGCCCGAGGAAGGGACTGAGGGGGACCCGCGTGGTCAGCACCTGGCGCGGGGAGACTGGGGTGTGTGCCCCGGCCCAGGACGGTGGCAGAGGGAGTGGCAACTTGAGACCCGCAGGCCTGGGTCCTGGGGCTGAGGCTGTGACCCCCTTACTGCGGAAGGACGGAAGGACGGGTGGGGACTCCTCTCCCCTCAGCAGCTCCCCCTGCTCTCCCTCCTTCCCCTCTGCGGCTGCTCCGTGCCCCGGGCTGAGCAGCTGCCATTTCAATAGAATTAAAGCTTCCGAATGATAAACGTCTTGTCACAGCTGCAATCTTCTCTTCCCAAATTATCCCCCCACTCTCCTTCCCCCTCTCCTTCTCTCCCCTGCACTTTATTGAATTTGCAGAATCGACATGAGTGATCTCCAAATTATGCCGCTGCCCCCTCCCCCGCCCCTCCCCGCCCCCCCCTCGTCAGCGCCGCGCGGCCCAGTGAGTGATTGTGTGTCTGGGATAATCGGCTGGTAACGACCCCAGCGCTTCTTTAAAGCCGAGTGGTGTGTGCGGCTCAGCGCCCCTGGCGATTTGTCAGCTCCCCGGCTAATGGGCCGAGAGAGTCTCCGCTTGCGCCCCACTCTGGGCGGGGAGCCCCACTCCCGCCGGCGGCCCGGGAGCTGCTCTGAGTCAGTCCCAGGGAGCCCCAGGGAGGCTGTTGTCAGGAGGCGATGTGTGCCCAGCAGGTCCTTCCTGGGCAGGGGCAGCAGGGGACAGGAGGGAGGTGGGAGCCTGCAGGTTTCCTGCCCCGACGCCAGGCGTGTGCGCGGGGGGTCCCTGGCAGGATTTGGTGTGGGTCAGGTAGGAGGGCCAGAGCGGTGCGTCTTCCCCAGCCCTGCACATGTGTGTGCATGTGTGTGTGCGTGCGTGCGTGCGTGTGCACCAGCCAGGGTGGCTTCCTGAGCAGCTGGCAGGGGCCCGTGGGACACGCCTGGGCCTGGCCTGACCTGGACCTGGGATGGACGCTGTGGCGGCCGCCCCCTGACCCCTCGCCCGCCCGTCTGTGCCCCTCAGCCGTGAGGAACGACCGCAACAAGAAGAAGAAGGAGGCGCCCAAGCCCGAGAGCTCGGAGAGCTGCGCGCTGACGCCTGAGGTCGGGGAGCTCATCGAGAAGGTGCGCAAAGCGCACCAGGAGACCTTCCCGGCCCTCTGCCAGCTGGGCAAATACACTACGGTACGGCCTGGCGGGCGGGGGCTCCGGCGGGCACCCCTCCCGGGGAAGCCAGGGCCCGGGCGGGGTGGGTGGGGCCGCAGGCCAGGCGCTCACTGCCCCGCCCCCCAGAACAACAGCTCGGAGCAGCGCGTGTCCCTGGACATCGACCTGTGGGACAAGTTCAGCGAGCTCTCCACCAAGTGCATCATCAAGACGGTGGAGTTCGCTAAGCAGCTGCCCGGCTTCACCACGCTCACCATCGCCGACCAGATCACGCTGCTCAAGGCCGCCTGCCTGGACATCCTGGTGCGTCTCTGCCGCCTGCCCTGTCCTCGGCCCTGCCCGGCGGCCGGCGGCCCAGGCTGTGCCCTCACCCACCTCCGCCCAGCCCTCCAGCCACCCACGTCCAAACACTGGCAGTTGCCTGGCTACTGGCCGGTCCGGGGGTGGAGGGCTGGGCCAGGCAGGGGGCCCCCCTTACCCAGTCCTGACGCTTTCCCGAGGGGCGGCCTGGACGGTACACACAGGTCACACAAGCGAGACGCACAGGGCTGGCCTCTGCTTGGCGAAGGAGCATTGGCGGCGGGGGTGCAGGGACGGTGTCCCGGAGGAGCAGCCCAGGGCTGCTGCAGAAGGGGTGGGCACAGGCGTCCCTTCTAGGAGGAGGGGGTGGCAGACCGGCTGGTGGGGGGCTTGCTGCTGTTGGGGGTGGCCTGCCTCGCAAGGGGGCCACGGGGTCTGTCGTCTGAGCAGCAGCTCGGCCCGGGCCACCTGCTCCCTCTCAGACACTTGAGGAGGGAAGCTGGGTTGGGTGTGGGTGACAGGCTGGGGCTCAGGTGCCCGGGCCAGGACACCCTCACGGAGCCACTGTGCTCCTTGCCTTCCGGACGCGGATCCCCAAACTCCCCGCCTGGACTTAGGGTGACCTAGCTGTGTGCGCTTCGTGCAGGACTGTCGCCCACGTGACTGGTCAGTTACAGTGGCACTCAGCTGGCTCCCTGGGTACGTCAGCGGTGTCGCTGGCGCTGGGGGCCACCTGGGGCTGGTGGACCCTCTGTCACCTCGAGGGTCCCATCCACAGCCGGGTCCCCTAGCGGGTACGGTGGCATGGCAGCACGTGGGGGGGCGAGCCCTGAGCTGCGCCCTGCACCCCCAGATCCTGCGGATCTGCACGCGGTACACGCCCGAGCAGGACACCATGACCTTCTCCGACGGGCTGACCCTGAACCGGACCCAGATGCACAACGCTGGCTTTGGCCCCCTCACCGACCTGGTCTTTGCCTTCGCCAACCAGCTGCTGCCCCTGGAGATGGACGACGCGGAGACCGGGCTGCTCAGTGCCATCTGCCTCATCTGTGGAGGTGGGCCGGGGCCCGGGGCCGGATGGGCCAGGAGAAGCCAGGCAGCACCTGACAGTCTCACGGGGACGCGGAGGCACAGGGGCGGCTCAGGCGGCCTGAACTTGGCTCCCCGTCCAGGGGCAGCGCTCATGCAGAGGGTGAAGAGCCGGGCCTGGAGGGTCACGTGCAAGCCCTGGCCTCGGGTGACCTTGGGCAGGTGGCTGAACTTCTTTGAGAGTGTGTCTACCCGGCGGGAGCGCGGTCTCTGCCTCCTTCAGTGGGGTTAATGTTAATGCAGTTCATGTTCCTTTGTTGGTATTATATTTTATTTTTTTCATTTTTGGTTTTCTGAGATAGGGTCTCGCTATGTAGTCCAAGCTGGTCTTGAACTCACTATGTACCAAAGGCTGGCCTTGAACTCACAGCAATCCTCCTGCCTCAGCCTCCTGAGTGCTGGGATGACAGGCATGTGCCACCACGCCAGGCATTTGCTGTTATTATTTTATTATGATTTTTGTCTTGTCACCCAAGCGTCCTGGATAGTGATGGGTGGGAGTGGGCAGCCAGCTGGAATCCTCCCTCTACATGCTGGGGGATCCCAACCCCTCACACTGTGGGGGTCATTGGGGCCGCCCCTGCTCCCACCACCTCTTGGCTTAAATCCTCTGTCCCCACCGGCCGCCCCGGCCCCGCCCTGCCCTACCGTGCCCTTGGGAAGCCTGCCCGGCGCACGCGCGCCCTCCGGTGGCTGAGGCCGGGTGTGCAGTTGCGCTGTGTCCCTGGCACCTAGACCGGCAGGACCTGGAGCAGCCGGAGCGCGTGGACCTGCTGCAGGAGCCACTGCTCGAAGCCTTGAAGGTCTACGTGCGCAAGCGCAGGCCCAGCCGCCCCCACATGTTCCCCAAGATGCTCATGAAGATCACCGACCTGCGCAGCATCAGCGCCAAGGGTGAGCCCATCCCTGCCAGGACCCCCGCCTGACCCCTGGGCTCAGGTGATGTGCTGCCTGTCTGGACCCGGCCTGTCCCCTTCCGTGTCCGCGTGGCAGTTCAGGGCACGGCCCTGGAGCCAAGTTGCGTGGCTGTCGTCCCTAATATGTCTCTCAGAGCACTGAGCCTTCCCTCCCCACCTGAGGAGCGGGGACAGTGAGTCTTTATTCTTCTGTGGAGTCCAACCTGGCCTGGAACTCTTGCGATCCTCCTGCTTCAGCCTCCCTAATCCGGGCCCGCGGGCGTTTGGCACCACGGCCGGCTTAGTGATAGTATTTAGAGGCTTTGCTCCCCTGCCCCATGCCTCTGGACTCGGGGCTGAGGCGTCCCGCAGTGTGGAGCAGTGCCTGTGGACAGCCACGCCGTGGACCTGCCAGGGCGGCACCTTGAGCTTGCCTCGTTCCCGCAGGGGCCGAGCGCGTGATCACGCTGAAGATGGAGATCCCGGGCTCCATGCCGCCGCTCATCCAGGAGATGCTGGAGAACTCCGAGGGCTTGGACACGCTGAGCGGACAGTCGGGGGGCGGCGGGCGGGACGGGGGTGGCCTGGCCGCCCCGCCGGGCAGCTGTAGCCCCAGCCTCAGCCCCAGCTCCAACAGAAGCAGCCCGGCCACCCACTCGCCGTGACCGAGACCGAGACCGCGGACGCAGCCCCGCCCCACGCTCCGGCTTCCTCTGCCGTCCACCGACCACGGGACCCTGCCCGCCCAGACAGACCTGGGACCTTCGGGCGCCGCAGGGAGGAGGCCGAGGCCGGCCGCGGCGATGGCGACGGG